GTTTTGTTCATAGATCTTGTCCTTAATGCTTACTTCGATCGCTCCTACACAAACTATTGAATAGTTGATAAAACGTTTGTTAGTATGTTTTGCATTTTGAAGAGAAAAATAAAAATTTGAAATGTTTATTTATTATTATTATTGGCACTTGGTGTTGTACAAAGGTTTTTTTGTTGTGATTGATTTTTTTATGATAACAAAAACGTGAGTGTAGTTGTTTGGTATGGTTTAGGTCTGAAGTCGTGTTAATGACAGAGGTACTTTTTTTATTTGTATTGGTATATATGTCTTTTAGTTTATAAATATTATAATTGAATCAAAATGCGGAGCAGATCTTGCTGGGCAATTATAAGATCCTTATCAAGATGGTAAACAAATGAACAATTGGTATTTTGCTTTTCGTAATCAGTAATATTAATATTAATCTAAATATATAATTACATGAAGACATCAAGGCAGCACACTGTTGAATATGAAACAATTTATATATGTGAGAAGTTTGATTATCGGAAAATGGCAGATGTTGAAGCATGCATGCTACCTTGAACACTTTACAGTCATTCTCACACATTCCTCGTGTACACAAGGCCAATCTGACTAGTTTGCCCCAATTATACATGATGTTGTTAGATTTCAGGGGGACGTGGTCCTGGGGTTTACTGAGACTGCATCAATCGTTAAGAACACTTTCACTAATCTTCCCAAACCAGAGAAGGCTGCTGGCATGCTGGCAAAAAAATTGCCTGCAACAATCCACTTCTAGGGTAAAGATGGCTCTGTGACCTAGTCACAACACTGGAGCCCATATAACCCATTCTAGGATAGAGGAATGTAGCTCAATGAGAACATGTATCTTACAAGTATAAAGGTGGTAGTTTAACTTTGCTCACTCCTATTGTGATAATCACCATGAACACTGGAATCAAGGTAGAAGCTGTAAAATAAAATGGTTCAGATTTTGTTTGGTATGTTATGTATAAATTAATCATTTTCATAAATTTTCTGTTTCTTTAATTTTCGTTTGACCAACTGAACTTGTTTTTCGAATGGGGTAGGGTTTTTGGTGAGTTGGCATGCCACTGACAAGACAGCAACCCAGGACTCAAAACTCTGAATTTAGGGGAAATCCAAAATAATAACCCAGGTTGTAACCTCCAAATTGGAGAATTTTGAATCAGTTGCAGACACCAACTTTATTCTAGAGGGGTATAACACAAAGCAATCATCATACAAGCACCAGCTATCAGTGATCAATGCTCATATGATAACAGCCAAGCCTGGTCTGGGAGGGAGATTTGTCCAAAGCCTTCCAACATGTACATGGCCAGTAGGTAGCAGTATAGTACAAGTAGGTAACAATATATATATATTGTTACCTACTTGTACTATACTGTTACCTACTTATGGTAGACTGTTACCTACTTATACGATTAGTTCGTATTTTCGTCGTAGTTTGAACTACGATTAGTTTGAATTTGCGTTGTACTTTGAGGTACGACGAGTTTGCATTTGCGTCGTACTTTTAGGCTTGAAGAATTCGTGATTGTTTTTTCATTCGAGGCCGACTGATGGCCCATTTTGGGTTCATGGAAGAATCCGTATTTGCATCGTACTTTTAAGTTACGACGAGTTTGAATTTGCGTCGTACTAGTAGTCTAATAAATTACTACAAAAATGTATAAATAGAACCTCTATCCCCCACTTTGGACCAAAAAAAACTAATTCATAAAATACACATTTCTTATATCTCTATAAACAATACATTTTCCAGCCGAATTGCCATTTTTTTTCGATTCCCGCTTTGGACTACGATTGGTTTATGAATTCGTCGTAATTTTTAGTGATCGTTATTGACGTGCATAACGATGGACTTTTGGTGGCCCATCAAAGCGTAATTTCCAATTTGGATTTTTCTACATTATTGTAAGAGACGTCAAAAATTTAGATTCAAAATAGAAAAAAAAACACGTGCGCGTTATAATTTATAATACCAATCTCCAAAGAATTCTAAATTCGTGGTCAAGGTGTCAGAGAAATATTTCTAAAGAAACTAATTATTGTATTTTGAGTCTGTTCTAATTTCGCAATTCTAGCGTCGTTCTTTTCACTTTGATTACCTATATCCTCAATTTCAGTATCTAGATATTTATCAGTGTCTTCTAGGTCCTCAATTTTATCATCAATCCTTTTCTTTTCGTGTTCTAACTCTTTAACCCTAGCATGAAGTTTGGCATTAATATCAATGAGTGCTTCCATTTCCTTTTTAAATTCAGCAATAACGGAATCAAATTTCAAGTTAATTCTTTAAAGGAGTCGATATTCATTGGAGTTGATTTCTTCTTATGTGTAACTATTATATATTTTTTTTCGTGGAGGTACTATTATATTTTTCTTTCTGGCGAGTAGTTAGTTAATACTTTCTTTGTAAATGTTTAATATTATGATTATCATTAGCATAAATTCAATTTTAACCTAATCCTAAGATGCGCTATTTTTTTTTGCTACCAAGTATAGCCTGAAATGATATAAAAACGGGAGGAATTCTGTCCTAGATCCGTCCTAATAAAAAAAAGTTAACTGGGACGGGGTATGTTATAGGAGAAAGTTCTTTTTCCTTAATCTATCTTGTTCCTTTATATTTATTATAATCCGTCTTAATTGTCCTAGTAAAATATAGTATTTAAGGAAAAAAAAAATTCGATTTTTTTCTATGTGGTATGTGTATGTATATGTATGTATGTATACCCATTAAAAAATATTAAAAAAAAATATAAAAGAAGCCAAATTTTACTAGGACAAATAGGACGTCTAACCTAGAACCCTTTCATTTACTTCAAAAACATCATACAAGCATTTTTTCTTTCGTCCTAGTAAAAAAGTTAACTAGGACTGATTTTTTTCTAGGACGGATTTTTATAAGCATTCGAAAACATAGTCTAGTTGGGCTTTTTTACCTCAATTCCATCTTGAGCCAGTTTTATTAGCTTTTTCCGTTGATAATGATCTCTGACTCGATACTTTCCAGAATGGTCTTTACATGCACCATATGTAGACCGAGTTAACTTGCCACACTCTTCGCAAGGTATACGTGTAGGGGAATTCCTATGAACTTTACACCCCTTTGGGTGATAACATCCCCGGTTACATTCCATGCCAGTTCTAAGGATATAGGAGCAACGATAAAACGCCATACCTAAAAATTTTTATAATACGATTTTTTAGCGGATCTAGTTTCACTATTAATGTGTATATTTTATGTCTAACACTAATTATTCTAAACAAATAATTTTTATTTGAACTTTGTTATAACATATATTATACTTTCAAAATAATATAAGTTATACTTTCGAAATAATAAAAGTAAACTCAACTCAACATGAACGCAGAAACCCAAAATAACGGCACAGAAAACCTAGAAAACGACGCCTTCTACCACCGTGGACACAATGCCGAAAGTGTATCCGAATATTCATATAAAATTCGTGATAATACCGTAAATCCAAACCAACTATTTTATTATTCTGGTGAAGATTATTTAACAGGTCCCCCTATTCGTAATGAAATAGTTGCAGAAAATGATGACGGTTTAACAGCAATTCTTAAACAAGCTTTGGCTAAGCAAGAAGGTATACCATTCATGCCGGTTGGTATTGAAGAATCCAATGAATATATAAACAATATCCCTCATTACGTTTTACGTTTATATGGCTCTCTTATTAATGGCCAGAAAGCAGTTGTAACAATAACTGGTATTAAAGTATTCTTTGATATCCGTATTCCCGATGATAAAACTATTGATGTATTCAAGACTGAAATAAAGGATACATTTAGAAATGGTAAAGATGATGAAGGAGAAACTGTAGACACAAGTAAAATTCGGATAGAGCACGTAAAAGCATTCCCTATTCGTGGTTACCGTGCAGAAAAAAAGTCGTATCTTCGAATTTACACAACTACCACTTTTCAAAGAAAAATCGCTCTGAATATCATTCTAAAATACAATTTAGAAATTGAGAATTCCGATGTTGATAAACACAAATTGGAAACTGCCTCAGATGACAAAAGCGCATATTATCGTAAAGTTGCTCGCGAATATAGAATTTCACTTTCTGGATGGGCTTTAATAAACAACTACGAATATAATAATAGTAGATTACCCTACAAAGGACGTTCTCATCTTTGTTCACATGCTTTCTATACATCTATTAATAATTTTAACACCGTGGAAGATCCTTCGAAATTATATAAAACTTACCCTTCTTCAGCCATTCTTCATGATCGGACATTAGTTCTTACCTGGGATATAGAAACATATACAACACGTGGATTAGAGCATGTACCTAAAGCGAAATATAAAGAAGATAGTATATTTATGATTTGTATGACTGTCCATTGGAAAGATGGTCCGAAACCACTGAAACAGATTTGTCTTGTTGATGTAGAAATTGCACCAGATCCAAACTGGATCACAATTGTTTGTGGAAATCAGACGAATTTACTAAAGGCATTTGCATTATGCTGGAGAGCATTAGCTCCTGATATCGAACTTACATATAATGGTTCCCAGTATGACTGGCCGTTTATAGTAGAAAAGGCTTCTCAATTACAGATTCTTGATTGGATGTTTACGCAAATGTCAGGAAACCCACGTCAAAATACTATTGATGGTATTCTTCGTTGGAATTATTATGGAGGGATAGGTAATCCTTCCGATAAAGATTTTTTCCATGATTTCTCTTCATGGACCAGAAATTTTGGAAAAACCAATGATACAGATAATAATAGCGGAGATAGCACGACTAAAAAAATCAAAAACCGAGAATGTGTCAAAATTAAAATTTCTCCAGAGAAAGAATTCAATTCCAGTTTCCTTAAGCTTCCTGGTTGTGTTCCAATTGACGTGATAGTATGTTATAAAAAACTCCATCCCAAATCCGAGAAAAATAAACTAGACTTTTACTTAGAATTCTACGGTCTTGATAGAAAAATAGATATGTCAACCAAAGATATAAGAATTTATTATGAGAAAAGCAAAAAATTTACGACAACTGAAACTATCAAAAATATACATAAGATTGCGGAGTATTGTATTGTCGACTCTCTATCTTGCCAAAAACTTATGATTAGGCGCAATGTAGTAAATGATTACAGAGAGGTAGCCTCAATTGCTTACATATCTTTATTTGATTCACATTACTATGCCGGAGGTATGAAGGTACGTAACCTCTTAGGTGCTGAAGCATGTAAAAGAGATATATTGGTTACTATGATTGCTTCTAAACAAACGGAATCTGGAAAATTTCCCGGAGCATATGTATTTCCTCCAGAGAAAGGTCTAGAAAATAAACGTCCAGTAACAGGTTTGGATTTTGCTTCTTTATATCCAAGTATAATAATGAATTATAATTTATTACCAGATAAAATGATTTTATTATCTGAAGAAGCGAAAATATTAAATGCAAATGAAAAGAAATCACTACATGAAATAGAATTCCCTTTTAATGGCCGAACTTTACGCGCCTGGACAATAAGACATGAAAATAAATCCGATCAAAAAGGATTATACCCAGTAGTTTTAGAAAATTTACTCAATAAGCGAAATCAGATGAAGTCTCAATTAGGATTACTTGGTAAGAGAAAAGAGTATATGGAATTAGTAATTAAGGAAACGAAAGAGAAAAATTTATCGATAATGGATGCTATTAATCATGTTCTAAAAAATATTGAAGATAAAAAAGAACGTACGTCCATACTCGAATATTTTAATCCTAAGGATAGTTATATTGATTTTATGTTAGAATACGATTCTATTTGTTTCGATTACAATTGCTTAGATTCAAAACAAAAAGCGGTAAAATTATACATGAATACCTTTTATGGTGAGATGGGTAATACTCTTTCCCCTTTCTTTAAACGCGAACTCGCTGGAGGAGTTACTTCGACTGGACAATACAATATTAAACTAGTTGCCGAGTTTGTAAATAAAAAAGGTTTCAAAACTAAATACGGGGATACAGACTCTTTATATCTCACTTGTCCAGATAAATTCTACAAGAAATGCGATCTCGATTACAATAATGGAAAAGGTACGATCTCGAAGTTAGAATATTGGACCGAAATGGCTAAGATTACTATGGATGTAATGAAAATATTACGCGATGATGTAAATAGTTATCTTAGATTAAAGAGCAGATCGACCTATCTTAAAATGGCCTATGAAGAAGTTCTATTTCCAGTCTGTTTCACCGGAAAGAAAAATATTTCGGAATTCCTCATATTGAAACTCCCAACTTCAAGCCCAAAAAACTATTTATAAAAGGAATCGATACCGTGAAACAAGGGCAATCTGAGCTATTTAGAGATATTGGAGATCGAATTATGTGGGGCGCCATGGATATCGATAATAAACGGACACTACATAAAATTGTTGAAGATGTCCTCACAGATGCGATATCCAACCCTAAACAATGGGATTTTAATCAGTTTATAGAGTCAGCTGTATGGAAACCTAATAAAGATAATAAACGTGTTCAACATTTTATAAAACGGATGAGAAAAAAATATGAAAATAAGATTCCAGACCCAGGTGAGCGTTTTAGTTATGTGATTACCCAACCTGGTAAAATTTTTGATTTAACTGGAAAAAAGCTTAATCTGGGAAAAGCAGATCAAATGGAATTTGTAGATATAGCTAAGGAAATGGGTAAGGAAATCGATTTATCTCACTACTTCGAAAAGACCATTACTGGACTTTGTGCCTGATTTATCATGTATGATAAAAGATACGAACCATTACCCTCTGATAAAATTATGCGACTTACAGACTCAGATGAAAAATATACGCAGATTGATTCCTATGCTCAAAACAAAGCCAAAAGATGGATCGAGACATATATTAAGGAAATAAATATAATAAATGGAATTTCTCCTCAAATGATTACTGCTCGTGGGTATGCATATAAACGTATCTATAAAGAGGCTATAAAAGAAGGAAGAGCAATGTTATCTAAAAAGATAGGAAATACATATGAAGTTCTTCAAGGTGATTTGGTTAATTATGAATATTTTATAAATGACGATCCAATCTCTAAAATATGGGAAAGTTTAGTAAAGTACATTGAAACAACAAAAAGAGGGAAATTAAATATCGAAAAAGCGGTACGTACGGAAATTATAGTTGACGAAACCATTATAAATTCTATACGCTCTAATCTTGCAAATCAAATCAATGATATTAGAAATATTGCTATAAAATACAATCCAATCTTCCATAAGTTGGTATATCATCTGATATAAAGAACGTATAAAAATTCCGGTCCTGTTACATAAGGTAATTAATCGAATTTGGTTAAATCATGCATGCATTGAAATTTTTGAATAATTTTTGTTGCACAACCCATTAAAATGTCGTACGATATAATTGATTATATGCGGATAGATATAAAATAATCACGTGCGCGTTACAAGATACAAATATCAACTGATTTGTAAATACTTATGCTTCCATTGCTGTTTTTATCTGGCTCTTTTAAATTAGTACAATGCAAATAATATATCTTCTTACTTCGATTATCAAGCCACTACTTATTTGTTAGCTTTATTATTTATGTATTATTATTTGCTAAAAAATAAAATCATATTATATATACATTATTATTTTAATTATTAACCATATACATTATTATTTAATTATTAATCAAATCCGTAAGCCTTCTCTACGAAGAACACCCATTTCTCCACTATTGAACACACCACCTTTTTGTTTGACTTAAACCATTCATTATGATTTTGTTTACAAAACTCACACGATAAATCAACTCGATGTACTTCTAATTCTAAATGAATAAGTCTTTCCGTACAATGAGTATATTTACATTTTTTGTCATCGGGTAAAGCTTTTATTAATTCTGCTTTGTAATGGCATTTTTTTTCCCACTGCTCCAAACGTCGATCCACGCTTTTTGTTCTTCCAATTTTATATAAATGGTTCATTTTTTTTTCTTTATTTGATACTATTATTATATCAATTAGTAATGTGTTTATGAAATTTGCCAATAAGTCAAAAAATTCAAAATCACAAACCTTTGTAAATGTAAATGTAACCGGGCTCGTCATATAACGAAATATCCTTGTTTATTTCAATACGCAAAGAAATTTCCATCTTTTTTGTAATGTTTTTCTCCGCGTAATCTATAAATGAACAAATCGTAAAACCATTCGTTGGTGATAATTAAAAAAGATACCTTTTACAACAACAAAAAAGATACAGTAAATACCGTCAAAATTAATATAGTTATCGCACGCCTTTCCGGTTTTAACAAGTGATTTGGAAGGGGTTCCTTCGGATTTTTTCTATAAAATAACATTAAAACATGTGTATTTAATATCAATCTATAAATAAATGCTAAGCTGTTTTAAATTAGATTATCGTTGTTCAGCAAAATAAGTAACCATGTCGCAAGAACATCTACATAATTAGATATCTAATGTATGTCTTGCAAGACAGCTAATGTCACATCGTGCTAGAGCTCATAACAGTGTGGCATATACTATCAAAATTATTATATCACATATTGATCCCTACGAGTGAGGTAGTAGTAATTTCTACGCATCGTAAAATACGAGATCTCGGTGAATGAATACTATCTAAACATGAATCGCAACCAAATGCCATCTATAAATGAGATTGCAACTCAAAAAATCCTATGTATCGTTGGGTGCAATACCATCTACATCATTACATATTACAGGAAATGTATGTTAATATAAAATAATAAACCTAACCTTTTTCGTTTCCCTTAACAAATTTAAATATACTTGGCTACTTATGTTTCCGCTTTCTAATTTATTTTCGAGCCAACTCGTAAAAATTTCTTTCTTGACGATTAAAGGAAACTTATGTGAACGTCCTTTATTATTGTCTAAATAATCCAAGAAACTATCTATACTCCATGTTGTGATTTCGCGGTTTTCAAAATATTTTCCTGAACTTCTATACAACTTTTTTTCTTTCCCGTTAAATTCTTCACCTGAAAACTTAAGTGGATAGTTGTTTTTAGGCATCAAAAAATAATTTAAAATATTTTTTATCAATATTTATTTTTAATAATTTGTGAAAAAGAAAGTTGCGTGTATATAGTGATGGCAACAACCCATCTTAAAAGAAATATTCTCGTGGTGGTATTCCAAATAGGTGAAAAAGAAACGAGTCGAATATTTTTCCACAATAAAAAAAAAAGATTAGTAATACGCATGATTTTTAAGAATCTAAACCATGTGTAGTTAATCCAATTTTGATATCCCTGTATATAATCGCACAAATATATCAACTGACCTCTACACATTCTATGAATTTCTAATAATAGCCAAATTAGCTCGATTGCACATG